TCACCATCGTCTGCACTATCGCCGTCGCTACGCCACCACCAACGTGGTCACCAATGCCGCCTCCGCCACCCTCGAAGTCGCCAGACAAACTCCTCTGGAACGCCGCGGCCGCCTCGCCCAACAGCGCTGCCACTGTGCTCTCCTTCTCCCAAAGGCCGCTCAACGCTATCTGTTTCAGAGGCAACGCGCGCGCACCACTCCATTTCACGAGTCTGGGACTCGTTTTAAAGTCTCTTCGATTGACTGAAGATTTAAACAGTGCCAAGTGTTAAAATTTCTTTCTATAACTCATCTATAGTGAAGGAATAATTGTTGAGGTATTTAGTTTGAGTTGCGTTTTTCGTTGCAGTTGATTTTTCTACTAAACCAAATATTATAGTGACCTACTTTTAGACGAGATATATACGTAATAATAGTAGGCGAGTAATACGTAAATATAGCGGCGCTGGCAAATTTACCCCACTTACTCCTGTATTTTCTCAACCTTACTTAGTAAGTAGAGAATGAATTGTAATAGTGCCCCGGAAAACGGCGAATTGTCAGCAGAAAAAAAGTCTTATTGCCGTTTCCTGGTAAAGCTGTAAATGCTCCATCATAATATCAATTGTATTTATTGATGTTCTTCAAGTTATAATCCAATTCGTCATGTTTGTATTATTGATTTCCTTTTACAAAACGGTTTGTCATATGCAAGTAAGAAAGCGTAATGGAAAAATGGGCCCAGAAATGTTCATCCCCCCCACACTCGCACTTCTCATACGAGGCTCGCCCCATGCGCATTATTTCAATTCCATTCGCGTCCTGGCAATACAATTCTCCTGGTGGTGCTCGGCGTCTGCGAGCAGCGTGTTCGCCGCGTGGCTTGAGCGGCCGCCGGCGACTGGGCGAGTGGTGGGCGTGGGCGTGGCGGCCGTTCTGCCCCGCTGCGCCGCCGCCGCGACGCCGCTGGGCCGGCAACGCACCTGCCTCCGCCGCCCGCCGCCCACCGCCGCCACCGCCGCCGCCGCACCTGCCACCGCCACCGCCCGCCGCCGTCGCCGCCGCCGCCGCCGCCGCCGCCGCCGGATGAAGGAGCGAGGCAGAGGGCGGCGCCGCGCCGCGCGAAGGCTCCGGCAGCGAAGTGGGGCCTCCAAGCAGCGAACGCCGGCTCAGCTGGGTTTCATTCAGCCGCCAACACAAACGCTCCTCTCCGCACGGAGCGAAACTCTGGAGACTAACATTTGTCGTTCACTACACACGGTATGTCCAAAATGTAATATAGTTTTTCTTTCTTTCTTTTTTTTCTGTGGTAGATTTTATTATTTTTCAGGTACAGCAAGTATCCAGTTGCCGCGACCGGGAGATTCACGGGTTCGAGTCTCGTCAGTGGCACGGTTTCCGACACTGGTGACACGGTAGGTAGCTAGGTCGGATGCATCCATTGTCAAGAGCAGGATTCTAGTGACCGGCTGCACTAATCAGTAGTTTCCCGTAGTTTTTCCGATCAACAGCAGACGAATGACCGAGAAGTATCCTAACAGACGGGTCACGGACCGCACGCTGCCTTTCCTTCTTTTTCCTTGTCCTATCCTCACCCTTTACTTACACACCCTTCCTCTTACATGCACTACCACACATGCTGGGAGACCGATCGAGGGCTTACAGCTTGTCCCGGTTGAGGCGGTGCCCCATATGTGGGAGATACCTGGTTGGGGAAACCCCCGGAAGCCACCGTGCAGGTCGCCGCCGGATCTCATCACCAAGCGTGGAGGATCACCGCCCCTTCCCAAAGAACACCATGCACTACACTTACAGGACTAATGACCTTATAATTTGAAGACCCGAAAACACGCAATAATAAATTAATCAATCAATCATTCACGCCTGCTTGCTTCACAACGTGCGCTGTCTCCTGGACATCCCTCACCTGGGGTACATCTTTCGTATTTCATCGAAAGAGTATGCAGATTCTTTTAGCAATTCTACCATTCATGACTGTGAGTGGGTTTCATACCAACGTTTATTAAATTAAACATTCTGGAAATGAATTACATTGCTCGAAGAAAGCAAACTCCTCTAAGAAGAGAACAAGCACTACCCTGTTGAATTAGTGTGTAATAAAATGTCTTCACTCATTTTAGTTCCTTCGTTTAAAGATCATTTTAAATCAAAGTAAAAATATGTAACTTCAACAATCTCATATTTTTTTAAATACATTGAAACATTATATTACGATAATATTGAGAACGCAAACTTCTCGGTATTGATGCGTAATTTTGTGCGTTCAAGGCTCCTGTGTCGAAACTTCGGAAACGGAAGAAAAATAACACATTTATTTCCTTAATAGCCAATGTAATCAAACTCATTTCATACATTCATGAATACAATAAAAAAAAGAAAAATTAAAAACTGAAAACACACTCAGCTTCATAACGTTTTCACTTCATGAACTCCCATGCCAAAATTTAACATAAGAAAAAGATCACAAAACTATAATGTAGTAGTATTAATCATAGCAATAGCATGGATTAGTTTAGTGTTTAACATTCTATGAATACTGACAAAAATATGGAATATTCGAGTGACAATAATTCCAATCTAATTTTTTTCGAAGATTCATATTCATTACCATATTTCGAAACTTTTATCGTCCAGCTATTCTTAAATTTATGATTTTTCTCTTCAAGAAATATAGTGAATTGAAACACACTAAAGTAAACTTTGCACCTGAATTCCTTACTTTATTAATACTCATTAATACTATTACCAATATTGGTAACATTTCAGCTTCATCTCTCTTCTCAATTTCACAATATTATTCTTCCTAGAATCGAGCAAGACGCAAGACTCCGGCTGCTCCAGCTTGCCGTTATCGCAGAACCTTGTCCTACGATAACGACAATCCAAAAGTCACTAACCCCGGCGCAGTAAATAGCACCACCGTCTTAACAGAAAGAAGAAAAATGAAAAGAAATTAGAATGATAGTGACCCACGCCCAGAGGCTAACAAAATATCAATAAACAAGTAGTGTGTATTCAGAGCACTTCACAATAGGTTCTACACGCTCCAAGAACTTTCGCAAACTGATAAAAGTTCAAGTATATCAATGAAATGGAGAACCAAGAAGGCGAAAAGAAGAACATCCCTTCAATTTTTGTTGAAGTCATACATAACTAACACTGTGGAATTCAACCGGGAAATCCAGTGCAAAAACATTTAAACAAACAACCACTACTGTTCTTGGCAATACCAAAACCAAGAAAACGTCTAATAAACACAAATAGAAAATTGTGAACGTAGGAAGTCCTCGACAACAATAACAACAAAAATTCAATCGTTTTTAAAAACCTTCACACATAATAACACAGAAATAAATATATGAAGATCTCAAGGAAAAGTGTCCATTCCTTATTAGTGGGACCAGGGGAGGCAAAGACAACTTCCCCATCTCGGTTGTGGCAGCTGAATTCTATGGGAAACAAAGGATATAAAATGTACTACATATAAATCAAATATGCAACTTTATCGTCAAACCAAAGAAAATACATAAAACCAAAGGTCCCAGCCAACTCCAGCGATGTTTAGATTTCGTTTATATATCAGAAATAAACGTAATTATTAGGGAGAGGAATTTTATGCACTAAAAATTCTTCAAATATACTTTTAAAAATATGCATTTATGACCTAAAAATTTAGAATATGCACTTCAATATACAATTAACATTATCAATATCTCCTTTCTTGCATTACCCTTTTTTGATAAAATTCAGGAGAAGAGTGCTTGGAATGAAAAAATATATTTTTCTACAGACAGTACAATCTACTTGTACATCACTTCGCGGGAGAAATAATGTAAATATTCACCATAGTGAAGTACATTCACCGTTGAATCTGTTCTTCCTGGTTCATTCGTTCATCTTGTTGGATCTGTTCTTCCTGGTTTAAAAAAATATGTATCAAGAAGTATCCTACATTTGCGCGAGTACTTACTCATCTATGGAAAAGAAAAAATGCAAACTGTGAATCGCAGAACGCGAAACGCAACATTTTAGAGATAAGTATATCCTAACAAAATGTGTAAAGTATTCCCCCATAATTACCCGAATACGCATCAACAGCAAAAATTATTAATTTATATAGCATCCAATACTAACCAAATATCACGAAATTTCACTTAGTTATGCCCTGAAGTAACAGACAAAAATATGCAAAATCATTGAAATCCTAGTAATTGTAATGTAGACGACACATTTTGCGCAAAAGAACACTACTCTGAAAATTGTCTCCGAAATGAAGACACCCACTTTGTAAAAGTTAGCACAGGTCAGATACGCACTCTGGAAAATGAACTTATTATAAAAAGGTAGCAAAGTTTCCCCCAAAATGCACACGTCGTTTTACAATCAGACCCAAAAGTATTACCACGCCAAATCTTACTGCCCAAAACTACTGAAACTTACATCTCATAGGCAATATTCTAAATTTCACCAATGTAACAAACTTTTCTAATCTCAACCCAAATCGAACAATGTTGGGCGTATCTGATATAGTGATCCAAAAATGTTGGTCCACAGAGTCACTCTCACCGGAAGGACTACAAGGATGCGAGAGCGATGTCGACGTTTTCAAAAAACCAATTTTTAAAAAAATCATCCATGATTTAACATCGATTATTTTAAGCCAATAGTTTTTTTTTAAATCGATGTTTTGTGATGGATATTTGTACGTGGTCATTATTAAAATAAAAAAAAACATATTTACAAAATTTTGTACTAATTGACTGGTAACCATAAACTGAAGACGAAAGTGATCAAGAGTGAAAAATAAATAAATTCGAATTTGCGCCAATAAAGACTATATTATTTTTGGATTTTCAATTCAGATAATGCAAGTTTTTTAAATGTCTTTATGAGTTTTGACTTTCTTTTGTAAATTAAACATCAATTAAAAATTAATAAACGATACCACTTTCCAATTAAATATTCCCTGCTTGAAATTCAACGGCCACTAATCCAATTTAAAAACAAAATCGATATTTAACTACATCGATGACTATGGATCGATGTTTTATTAACACCGAGGTTATAATTTTGAGCTTATGTTTCTCAACATCAATGTTTTATGGACGAAGACGTAATGTTTGTCGGCTGAATGAAATTTAACTTGCATTCACAGATGCGATTCCATTCATTAGGCAGTGATTCCGGACCCCGGATTCAACTGCTAAGGTCATTAGTCCCGTAAGTGTAGTGGGTGTTCGGGCCGCGGGAGGGGGCGGTCATCTTCTGCAGATGACTGGCGAAAGACGACCTACGTCGTTTAGTAGGAATTTTGCCCATCCAGGTATCTCCCTTAAGTGGCGCAGCTACAACCAGGGCAAGCTCTAATCTCACGACTGGTTCCCCGACAAGTGTGGAAGTACTGCATGTAAGTGTTAGTACATGTAAGTAGAGTGAGTATGGGTCAAGCGAAAAGAAGGAAAAAAACGCGCGTGATCCGTGTCCCGATTGTTAGGGTACTGGTCCGATATGTGCCTGGTGTTGATCGGAGAAACCACGAAAAGTCTCGATCAGAGAAGCTGGCCACTAGAACTCTCCTCCAGACTGAGACAAATTCGACGTAGCTAACGAGCTAGTGCCGAAAAGACTGTCACCGAATCGAGCTCTTGGGCCTCCCGGGCAGATGCACTGCAGTGACATCAGACGTCATGAGCAGTGCAGTAACATCCTTTGCCGGTCGTTTTCAGTAGAGAGAGGAAGCGAAGTTATTGTACGGGAAGTTATTGGAAAGTCATTCGGTCCTTGAAATTGCCTCCTCAGTGTTACAAGTTTGGTTGCATCGACGCAGCCCGCGAGTGCGGTTACGCCAGTCGTGCATTTCCACTGCAAGCTGCATGTGCGCAATGCGCCCCCGCCAGCACCGCGCCGCGCCGCTCCGGAGCGTCTGTAAACAGGATGTTGATATCGCACCGCGCCTCTCCTTCTGCGAAAGTGCAGGGGCGGGGCGAGGGCGGCGCAGCGGGCGGGGAGGAGTGAGGGCCTTCTGGACGCCGGCGGCCATCATGGGAAGAGGCATCCGCGAACGGCACGGCCGTAGAGCCGGCGCCTCCCGCCCCTGCTCTGCCCGACGCCCTGCCGCCGCTCGCCCCAGTCCGCCCCCCCCCCCCCTGCTCCCTAGACACACTGTTACTCTCTACACCCTACCTGGCTCCGGCTCCGCCTTATCCCTCCCCGCCTCGTATGGCGAACTGCGACGCACGGCGCTTGCAGGGCGACTGATTTTTTTCGACGATGCAATAAAAATTACGGGTTTTACATTTCACTAAGCACGCGCGGAATTATTCTTCGCGGCAAAACACCACATCAGCGCGTAAAAAAACATTTATACTTTTCGCTGGTACCTTACTGTTAGATATGGTCTTCGATGTGGAGTTGCATAACGTACCTGGATCGAGAGAATCGTGGTTACAAGAGAATATAAAAGCATTTGAATGATGCTACATGTTCGAGAAGGAATTATGGGAGCGAAATGTGCAAAAATGAGTGAAATTAACATCTAGTTATCTGAATTAGTAAATCAGAGTTATCTGAGTTGGTTAATTTGAGCCATTAAAATTAGTAATAAAATAAAATAATGAATGAGTCTCGGGCTTTAACTGGTTCTAATGATTTGGGGCGGCAAAATGCGCTTTTAATCCCTCATTAAAACCCTTATAAATCCTGATAATAACCTTGGATGTATAACAATGAAGAAGTAATTTGTTTTGATAACTCTGAAGAGATAATCATTCGCAACAAAATCATTTGTATACAAATGAAGAATAAAATGTAGACATTTCGTGTGTGAAAGGATTGTTTCTTTCAAGATCCCCTTTGTTTTGTACCTCAATCAATCTGTTTCCGCAAAAAACCTGAAAAACATGAAATATCATTAGAGTTATATGCGTAACTAGTACAAAATGTAAATCAATGGCTTACGAATGAAATGGAATTTTGAAATGAGTGTACCAAAGACGTTTTCTTAAGGGTAGCGTCCATTAATTACTTCCTCGCTCTCACTTCCCGAGAAGAGAAAGTATTGTAACCCTGGCCGTCTACAGGCGAATGATCGACAGAAAAAATGTCTATTGCCGGGCCCTGGCAACGAAAAAGATGATGAATTTTCTTCCTATATATGTAGAAAATTACTTGCTCTAACACGTTGTGCAGTCAGAATCCCTGTTTTGCGGGTCCTTTATACCAACAAATCCATTGACGGCAAAACGATTGTCCGACTGTGTGCCTGTAGTAAACGCTGGTTCCTGAACCATTCAGCCGATTTTCTCATTGTATATATTTAAAGGAACTCGGGCCCCTTCAGTTTGAAACAAATATTTTATGTTTGGCGATACTTTACATGAAGCTTCAAAGAATGATCAAAAATGCCAATATAGCATATATGCAACTTTTAAACCATCATTTTCTCAAAAACCGCTCCAATTTTTTTTCTTAAGGTTTCCTAGTGCATGTCAAAGAACGATAACAAAAACTTGTGCTAGACCCATTGCCTGAGAATTATCTTATTTGCAGAAATTGGAAAAAAGTCAACATTGGAAAAGTACAAATCTGAAGATGGGGATATTTGTCTTATACAAAATCTTTAATAAAGAATCACGTATTACAAATTTTTTGTGTACTATTTGAAGAAAAAATCGTTTTCTCGCACAAAAAATAATCAAAAATCATTGCAAATTGTTCTTTAATTTTTCCCATAAATAGAAGAGATGGCGCTTAAACGAATGGCGCATTTTCATGGAACTCTCCGAATTTTGGAAATTTCCAAAAGTTCGATATAGTGTGAGATATATGTGATGTTTAGTTTCGTTATACTATTATAATCAATGTTTGGTATGTATCCTATGATTTCCTATTTCGAATTATAAGAGTTATTTTCCGTAAACTAGTGATGTGCAAATAAGTGCAAGTGTGTGAGTAAGAGGAAATGATCCGACAAAGGTAGGGGAAAATGGGGAAGAGTAGAGCGGGCCGTGGCGGAGCTAAACTATAAGCCAGGAAGAACATGGATTGAGGGGTGGTATAAAAATTGTCTGGAGATCGGATGGGGCGAGAGGGGAACATGGCCGGGTGTGGAAGAGGTGAAAGGTGTGGGCGGGGAAGGGGGGAGAGGCAGGCAGGAGCGTGGAGGGGCGGGAGGGGCCGGAGGACAAGGTGGATTGGGCGGGTGGTCGCGGGGAGGCGTAGCACAGTTCGTGCGGGGCTGAGGGCAGCGTGGGACTCGGGGGCGTGGCGGGGTGGAGTTGAGAAAAGGGAGGGTTGGGGATGGATGTTGTTGGGGCGAGTAGGGGACGGGGGAGACGTCGTCGCAATAAGACGTGTGAAGGCAGGCGCTCGTGGTTGCGGAATAGGCTGTGAGGGGCGGGCGGGCTTGGTGTGATGGCTGCGTGGTCGGGGGGTAGCGGAGACCGTTGCGGGGCTTGGGGAAAGGGTTGAGAGGGCAGGGGCTGTAAAGGCTTGGTGGGCGGGGCGTGGGCGGAGCGAAGAGGTGCGGGGTTTGGGAGGATGGGCGGAGGGAGGGGGCAGAGGCTGGGGGGGCGGTGGACGGGGCAAGAGGCGAGGTGGCGGGCCTTGGTGGTGGGTCGGCAGAGTTCGACGCCCGTCGGGGGCAGAGGCGCTGGTACAGCGGTGGCGCGGGCGGGCTGTGCGGCCGGCGCGAGGCGGGCGCAGCGGGGCGGGGGCGAGGGGGCAGAGGGCCGCTCGCGCGTGTAGTAAGGAAGCTTGTCCGCGCTGCTATATCAGATGGGGCGCAGCGCCAGCCGGCCGCCGGCCGCCGGGTGGCTCCGCCGCGCCGCCGTCGCCGCCGCGTCCAGCGCAGGCCGTCCACGCCGCCCGCCGCCGCGAGTCCAAGCCGCAGCACTACTGCGCGCCCGTGGGCGGGAGGGGGCGACGCAAGTCGTGTGTCGAGGATAGGTAGAGTGGAGATAAGAGGTTAGTCGCGGTGGATATTGCAAGAAAGGGAAGTAAAGATAATGAAGGAGATGTTGTGGAAACGACAGTGAGTGACTGACATTCTATTCACTACAAAAGTGATGTTCACTGCGAAATGGACTGCTGGGTCTTTGGAATGGGATCCCTAAAATTTAATTTGAGTTCTATAAATATGAAAGTGGGTGCAGACATGTAACATTGTACCGTAACGCAACGCCATTGTATGTCACGTAGACGTCACATAGTAACCACAACATCGGATCGCGAAAGGCGGAGCGTGCTGTTGGCTGTCGGCATCCTAATGTGGCATCAATGAATCGTGCGATGGCGTTGCATATCCTAGTGGCAGGTCTGGACCTAGAGGATTGCCAGCAAGCGCGGTATGGTTAGATGGAACGGCGGAACCTGTTTCACGTATGTACGTGTGTATCACGAGCATGTTCTTATGATGATGAACTGCTCGACAGTGTTCGGTTTCGATACGCTGTTACACGTCTAGACCCTTTTAAGACAGCGCTTGCAATTAGAGGTGTTTGGGGGATTCAGCTTGTGGAAGTGAAGGATTGGAGTCGAGTGGAGCAGTGAGAAGAACAGGATTATTACGGTTGGAATCAGCTACAACACTCGTGTTTCTGAGGCGCTAAGTAGTTTCTCTTCCAATGGGGCACCGCCTCAGCTGGGACAAGCTCGTGAATTTTGGGGTAGTGTAATGCATATGGGTGTGTAAGATGGAGTAGGGAACAAGTGTGAGAATGAGATCGTGCGAGGTTCGTTTTTTAGGGAACATCATCTTCACTTGTGTGATTTTAAAATGGAGAATTCATAGAGTGCTAATCAGACCAGCTGGCCACAACAACTCTCCCTCAAACACCTCGGAATTCGCCAGAGCTTTCTGGTTAAATCCAAAAGTATGCCAACGCCACGACTACAACATGAGGATCTTGAAATTAGAGACGCTCTGTCGGTAAGTCGAAGAGAGGATGCAGCACAAGTGGCAGAACATGAAGGCGGAGAAGGAGGAGGAGAAGAAGAAGAAGAAGAAGAAGAAGAAGAAGAAGAAGAAAAATCTGAAGAAGGAATAGTTTGGAAGTGGCAGAAAAGTGGACAACTTAGCGAGGATGCTACGCTGACAGTGGAGACGTGGCACAAAGGCGAAACGTTGAAAAATAAGTAGCATGAAATGGGAGGGAATTGTTGGAAGTTCGACACTCGGAGGCAAGAGAGGTCTTGGAAGGATGTGGGATGTGAATGAGTAGTTTTGTAGGTTGAGCGTAATACGTGGAAAGGTCGGACGGGTGCAACAATTGGCGGCAGATATTCCATTGCAATTCAATTCCTTCGATTGTTTAAGTTAAGAACAAGGAGAACATGAAGAAAACGAGAACCAGAAGAAGAACAACGAACGAATGGAACAGAAAATATCCACCGAAGGGATTGGCAATATGAGAGTCAGAACCAGTGTCAGAGGCACAGCTAGGCAGTGTGCTACAGGTCCCCACTTAGATGGTGCCCTGTATATGAATACAAAATGTCTTTCCTTCAATATATTTTTTCTAAAAATATATTTTACTGTTGTTGAAATATGATTAACTTTAAAAGATAATAATAATAATAATAATAATAATAATAATAATAATAATAATAATAATAATAATAAATAATAACTCTTTTGTTCGAAGTAAGGGCCCCCCATGGATCTCCTGGCGCATATTCCCTGGGCGCCCCGTGGCCACGAGCGTGGTGCATGAAGGCGCAGTGCTTGGCAGCCGCGGCGCTTGGCGCCGCCGACCGCACCAGGCGGATCCAGTATTAGGCGGCGCGGCGCCCGCCCCACCCCTCATCCCCTACACCAAATACGTCCGGCCGCGCCCGGGCCCCGTGGCCGAGCTGGGGCCGGGGCCCTGAGGCTGACGCGGTGGCGCCGCATCGCGTGGCGGGGATGAGGCCAAAGACCCAAAGCGCCGGCCATGGCGCTCTCACCGACGGAAACAAATAGTGCGGATAAAGAGCACATACTTTCTCGCACTATTTCCAACCATTGCCAGTTTCGAAATTTCAGAGTTTAACGAAATTGGCACCTGAGGAATTTTT